AAGTCTTAAAGCTAAATCCCTTGTTAATCTTGCGTTAATACTAATTTTCAGTCGTTAGTATCGTAAGATAACAATATGTTTTCTGAATTTATAACTAAAATTGGAATTCAAAAAAAGATTTCTTAAAAAATTTTATTCTGAATTGATGCTAAGCAAGCCTTAAAGATCATTTTATTATAAATATACACATTCAAAATTTTGATTCCAAAATCCTTCTTTTTGCCTTAAGTAATTTTTATATTAATTTTTTTTTAAAATAATTTTTAATAATTTTAAATATTTAGAAATTAATATTGAAAATAAATTAAGAAATGATTTAATTTATAAAAATAATATTATATGTTATTAAATTTAACATATAATATGTAGTTAAAATATAATGTTAAATAATATTTAAAAATATAATAATAATAAAAAAATTATTATTAACATGAAAATTAACGAACTTTGAAAATAAAAAAGTAAAGTTAACTATATTTTATATATCAGACTCTAAATATATTAACCAAAATACTGTATTTTATAATATAATACAACCACTACAACTAATACCATTTTTAGTTATAAAAGGATCAGCTGGTCCAGCTGGTCCCCATACTGAAGGAACAAGATAGTCTTTGGTAGACTGAACATATTTAATAATGCTTTAATTTAGAAGAAATTTAGAAGTTAAAAAAATGTTTTAGAAATGTCAATTTAATCGTTATTTTCAAACTTACACTGAACTTGCTTGGGATACTCTTACTCTTGGTAAATCCAATTGTTCACGAAGATGTTGATTATGATCTAGAATTCTTTGAAACTTGTATTCGGAAAAGTTTTTTACTTGTGAAGGCATTCTTCTTTACAAATTCGAAAGCTTATAAATGAAACGATTTAATTTGGCTTGAAATGAGGAATAATATGAAAATAAATATGTTAATTATATAAATATATGTAATTCTTTTAGAACTTTTTTATTTGTTGAGCGCAAACGTTACAAATTTAAAAGAATGGCGGAGTTGGCTCTTATACATGAAGTGAAAGGAACAAGAATGATGATAATTAAACAATTAAAATTGTTGCCAAATTAATAATGAAACAGTCATGTGAGGATATTCATTACTAAAAAAGATATAGTCATTAAAATTTATTCAATAATGTTATCGCGTTTGTAAATTTTCTAAAAATGATTTTTAAGTAAAGATATGGCAACAAAGTATGATTTTATGTGGTACTCTCTAGTTTCTAAATGTAACAACTTATAACTTACATGTTATTGCTTGAAAAAAGAACAATTCGCGTTGCTACAACAACTTTTTTCAAGCATTCTCGACTCCTCTATCCAAAGATAAATTTCCGTAGTTTTAGCACAGGTTTAATATTATTAGTAATTACATAATTTAAATTTTAATGGAATTAATGAAAATAAATTTATTGTAATGCTTAGGCAATACGAAAGTTTCTTGTGAGGATCATGAACCTTCTTTTTTGGATTCTGTTATAACGTATTATGATAAGGTAGCTAATAAATACTTTCCTTATTGTAATTGTGAGCTAAATGCCTTTTTGAATTTCATAATAGGCGGCAAAATTTAGTGGAGTATCCGAAAAGACTCTCTCACACCTCAAAGCTCCAGATTGTTCACTTCAAGTTACATTCCCAATTGAGGTGAATTTTAATAATAAAAGAAATCTTCACAACAGAAGTTTATAAATATTATATTTCATAATAAAGTCCATTAATTGTTAAAAATTTTTTGTACGTTTGCCAAAGATTGAAGATGATAAAGTCGAAATATTGACAGGTTATCGAGTTCATCATTCACGTCACTTGCTTCCCGTGAAAGGAGGTATACGGTAAGCATAAGTAATCATGTCTTTCACGTGATACATTATAATTAATAAAGAATGAAATAAACCATAGATTTTCTCCCGAAGTCGAAGAACAGGAAGTCTCAGCCTTGGCTGCGCTTATGACTTATAAATGTGCTATTGTCGATGTTCCCGTAAGTTTCTGGGGAATTTGTTTTTTCTTTATTCAAAAAGAGAAATCATAAATTTAATTTATATCACATTCAGTTTGGAGGGGCAAAAGGGGGAATCGCAATTGATCCTAAAAAATTTACTGTAGCACAATTGGAAAGGATTACACGACGTTATACAGTGGAACTATGTCAAAAGGTGATTTTGATAAATTTTCTTTATTTTCTTTGTTGATCAGAATAATATATTATTATATCTTCAGGCATTTATTGGACCAGGTGTTGATGTTCCTGCACCAGATGTGGGTACTGGAGCACGTGAAATGGCATGGATCATGGATACGTATAGACAATTTCATCCTAATGATGTAGATTCAATTGGTTGCGTCACCGGTAAACCGATATCTCTAGGTGGCGTTAGAGGAAGGAACGAAGCTACTGGATTAGGTGTGTATTATTGTGTAAGAGAATTCCTCTCTTATCCTGAAGTACAAAAAGCAACTGGACTTAGTGGAAAAATTAGAGATAAAAGAATTGTCATACAAGGCTTTGGTAAAGTTGGTTATTTTGCTGCAAAATTTTTTGAAAAAAATGGGTTTGTATTAATATTTTTGGCTACTTTATGTCATTGGTTTTTTTAACCTAACATTTTTTTAGTGCAAAGATTATAGGTATAGGAGAAAGAGATTGTGGTGCTTATAATCCTAATGGCATTAATATTGAAGAATTGTTCAATTACCACATTAAAACTGGAACTTTTAGTGGTGCTCCTAATGTCGATGTCATTGAAGATACTTTTAAGGTATGATTTGAGAATTGTTATATTAATCTTTACAGATTTTTTAACGCAACAAGTATTTAGATTCTCGAATTGGATTGTGATATTCTTATACCAGCAGCGTTAGAAAGACAAATTGGCTTAAAAAATGTAATGAAAATTAATGCGAAAATTATAGGTGAGGCTGCAAATGGACCTATAACCCCAGAAGCAAATGATATTCTTAATGAAAAAGGAATATTAATTCTGCCCGACTTGTTACTTAATGCTGGTGGCGTAACTGTAAGTAATTGAATATTTTGCTTTAATATTAATAAATATTTAATTATAATTTTTATTATTTGGTAGGTATCATATTTCGAGTGGTTAAAGAATTTGTCACACATGAGATTCGGACGTATGACTAAAAAATGGGATGAACTTGGAAAATCAAAATTAGTAGAATTAGTTGAAAATAACGTTGGTAGACATTTAACCGAAGCCGAAAGAAAAAATATAGTTCATGGAGCTGAGGAACTAGATTTGGTTTATTCAGGGTTGGAGGATACGATGATTGGAGCTTGTCAGGAAACGAGAAGTACCGCTGCTTCTAAAGTATGTCCTTTTCAAAATTTCATATAACTTTTTATTTTATTATTTTAATTTGTATGACCCTTTTTTTTATTTTTTGATCTTAACAGGGGTTGGATTTCAGAACTGCAGCATTTGTAAATGCTATTCAGAAAATATCGGCAGTTTATGAAGGATCAGGAATGATGTTTATGAATTAATTTAATTAACAAAAAGATTTATTTTTTTTGCATATAAATAATATATTCGGTTAAAGCATTTATCAATTAGTTTGCGTACAAAGGCCTTTTACAAAACATAAAGTTTTCTTCTGTTTACGCCGCGTTAATATTTCGTTTCTTCGTAAATAAATTTTTATCTTGCAACGACCGTGGTAGGGTTTGAACCTACGACCTTCTGCTTACCCAAATAAAACCGGAGGCAGACGATCTATCCACTGATCTACACGGCCCTGATACTTTAAAGAGATATTCTTATTAAAAATACAAAAAGAATTTACTACATTGACTTCCAATAACTTTTTTATAAATTTACAAAATGAATACTTCAATTGAAAAGTTTTAAAACGTTACTATGTAAACAAATAAGTCAGACATTCTGAATAGTTATTTTTCGCTTGATTCTGCTATATATTTCTTCAGAATATCAAAGTATAAATATTCCTTTTTTAAGTAAAAGTTTCACATTAAATTTTAATTCATTTGGCGTTCACTTATTTCTTTAGGAATCTTATTGATTATATAGCAGTTTATTATTTAAGAAATAATAAATTAATAAATTTTTTTAATAAAATAAATGTTTTTAAAAGTTTTTTTTAAAAATTTTTAATCTTATAAAATATTTTAAAATCCAATAAAAATAAAGGTTTTTACTAATTTAATCTATCAATATTATTAAATAGAAAATACTAAAATATTAATTAAAGTAAACATTCAATTTCAGCATTGATTTAAAACCTTTATCTAAAAGCTTTTCTTTTTATTATAAAGTATTATAAAAGTTATGTTTTAAAGTTTTAAATCTTTTAATTTTAAATTTTTTAATTAATTAATAAATTTATATAAAATTTAATTTTTATAATTATAAAAACAAATTTTTTTTTATATAGCATAATATAAATACTTATTTATTATTTAAAATACATAATAAATTATAATAAAAAAAATTTAATTATATTTAATAAAATATTTATCTAATAGACTTTTAATAAAATTTAAATGTATCAATATTAATATTTTAATAATAAAAAAATTATATGTAAAATTTAAACTTTAAAAAAAATTAATACTTAGAATATAAATATAATATTAATAATTTATACTAATAAATTTTTATATTAAATTTCATATTATTTAAAGCTTAGATAAATTAATTTATTTAAATTTAACTCAAGTTATATTAAATAATTTATAAATTAATTAAATTATATTATAATTAAAATAAAAAATCCTCTTAATTTATTTTTAATAAAATACTACTAAATTTATTATTAAAAGAAAATATTATTAAAGTGTTTTTTAAAGCAATTTTTTAAATTATTATATATTATATTTTTATTTTTAATAATATGATTATTATATAAATTTATTTATTATTTTAATCAAATATAATGTTAATTTATATAAAATATAATATATAAATTATTAATTTTAATTTTATGATTTTTCATATATAAATAAATTTAATATTTAAATATTAGTAATATATTTATTTTACTAATTTTCTTTTTATTATAATAAAAATAAATATAAACAATTATTTTAAGCTTTTAAAAAAATAAAAAAATTACTAATTAATATAATTTTTTTTATAACTAGGAATCAGATACCATTGTAAGTCTAAAGCAATTTTTAAATATTTATTATATATAACAAATTTTATATTAGAATTTTAATATACTTTTATTTTAAATAATAAAATTATTGTAATAAAATAATATAATAAAAAATAATATGAAATTAAGGCTGCTGGACAAAATGTAAAGTTTAAATAGACGTTTAAATAATAAAAATAAAACTTAGTTAAATTATATTAAAAACTTATTAAAAAATCTGCAAAATTCAGAAAAAGGTAAAACTATACCAAAGCTTATAAAAATGGCAAAACTATATTAAACACTTAGTAAAAATTTAGCAAAATTAAAGTTTAGACGTTTAGCCAAATCCAGACAAGCAATCTTATATGAAATAAATAAATTGTTTATAATATAATTATCATTAATAAACATAACAATTAAATTTGTTAAATGTAATGCTAAAATATAACATAATTTAATATTATATAATAAGTCATATATAAGCTATAATAATGAAAATACTGAATATTATATGACTTTTGTTAGTTCATATTTATTAATCAATAAAAATGCGTGATAAAATTAATTCAACACTCTTTGAAAATATAAATCAAGAGAAAATGAAATACTTGAGCATTATAAGGCTCATCTTATTAAGAATATAAGAAAAAACACTAAAAAATAATAAAAATTATTAAAGAATAGGATGCTTATCATAAATATTGTTAATGTGTAATTCTTGCGAACCATAACTGTTAGACGGTGTGTTAGAGTGTTATTTCTTTTTAATGTACGTAGTAATCTTAAGGCTTTTACAAGTTTATTATCACGGCTAATCAAACAAAGGTTTTAAGTCAAGGTTTATACGAGTATTTCATGATCAATAATTCACAAGGTATCGAGTAATTATATTTCTAAATAAGATGTTTATTGATAAGAATAGAAATAGAAATAATAAAAGATATGACAAGAGAAAAGAAAAGAAAAGAAATAAAGAAATGAAGTATGAAACTACAAGTGTAACATGATAGGCCTGTTTGCCTCTTAAAACTACTAAAAACTGACTTGTCAAATCCTACTTTTTACATGGTCTAAAAAGCTGTCTATTTATATAAAATACAGTATATAGAAATATATAACTAATATGTCTAATATATCATATATGTCATATATGTCTGATATATCATATATGTCGAATCTGTCAAATATATCGTATTTGTCGATCATGTCAGATATGTCATATATGTCAGTCATGTCAGAATTGTCAATTATGTTAGATTTGTCAGATCTGTCAGATTTGTCGATCATCTGCGACTCGTAGGTCCTATCATATTTTATTCGTTCACAATATGAATACAAATAAAACGTTTTAAGGTAGCAAATATAAATATTAAAAATTATCATAAACTAATATAACAAAAGCAGAATCAAGTATGAATCTGAAGCAATTGCAATAAAATCGATCTTTAAAGTTACAATCATAACAAAATTAAAATATACTAGAACTATAATAGTAGCAGAATCAAGATATTCCAGAGCTGCAGTAAGATTAGAGTATTGAAGAACTATCTGAGCTCAGTAAATTTGAATGAGACCTTTTATAAAAGTTTTGCAATAAAGTAGATAAATTAAAATATAGTCTTTATCTTCTTTACTTTATGTGCAATAAGAACTTTCTGTCTATAATGCTTATAAAAAGAAAATGTTACTGCTATAATACTAAAAAAATAGAACCAAAAAATTTTTTGCAGAAAATAATATAGATTTTAATAATATGGAAAGTGGTCAGTAGAAAAAGGAGAAATCCAAATTTTGGTTAAAATTTATATTATTGGACCATTTGGCTGATCTCGGTCATATGCACAAAATTAGCTTAATAATTAAAATTAACAAAAATTTTGGATTTCCCCCTTTTTTACTGATCGTCTCCTATATACCTAAAGAATTTCATAGGCTTTTAAAAATTAAGGAGATATTGATTGCTAGAATCTTTCCTATTATATTAGTTTATAGACTTCAAAGAAAACAATATAGATATTATGAAAATATAATTAACTTTTACCAAAAAGTATAAGAATTTGCTACTTATTTTTTCAAATATATTATTATTAGATATACTTATTGTATATTATGAAATTGCAGATAATTCAGTAATATTCAGAGATTTTATTTGATATACCAAAGTTGCTTATATCTTATGCTGACTAAAAGAAAACAATTATTATTATAATAATATTATAATAGATAATGAGATTTTTTGTTCTTTATTTACTAATAAATCTATTGATGATTACCTTCAAAATACTCAATAGTTACTGAAAATTTGAATAATGAATTGAGGGTAATATTATAAATAAAGTTAAATGAAAATCCAAAAATCAAAATAAAAGTCATAATAGTCAAAATAATGTTATATCACATGATTTTTCATATATAAAAAATTTTAAAAAACAAATAATATACAATCTTGATCAATATCGTTCCATTTCTTTTAAATTAATTACCATTTGATTTCTTATGACTAGACAAATCCAATAAGCTAAATATTATTGATTTTAATTAACTAATATTGAGATAATCATGATTAAATTATCAACTGAAATTAATAATTTAATAAATTCTACTTTAAATAAAAGATCCAGATTTTGGAAATACAATTGTAATTAATATAAGATTAGCTGATCAAATATTAATAATATCTTCCTGTTATATCATATATGAAAATAATGATAACCTATATTATGATAATACCATCATCAAATATATATTTTATCCTTACTCTCAAATTTGATACTTTAAATATGATAAATATTTTCAAAAATATTTGATTTCTTCATCTAGACCTCTTAACACTTTTAACACCTTTCAACAAATCTACTAAGACAATCTATCCAACTACATTGTGAAATAATCAAAAGAGATTTTGATTAGATACTATTTTCTCAAGATTGAAAATAAAGAGCTATGCTTTTATTAATGTTTGATATTCTTACAAAAAATGAGAATAATTATAAAAATTAACAAATAGAAAACATAAATTTATTATTACAACATCCTAATATTAATAACTTTTTTTGCTATATACATATATACATAATAAAACTTATTGTAAAAAGTTTCTTCATTATTCTCAGATTTCCTATCTGAACTTCAAAATCAAATTCATAATTAATATCAATTACAAATAATTTAATTAAATAATCAATTCGCTGAAATATTAGATCATTTGTTAAATTTTCTAATCCTGCAACTTCTATCTAACCTTTACTGCATAATACAGATTCAGATAAAGAATTTGAAGATACTTTCTCACATCTACTCAATGATAACTATGCTCAAATTACTATTAGATTAGTATTAAATCTTATCTATGATTACTATGTATATGTATTTAAATAATAACCTGATTTCTTTATCACTAGCTCAGAGGAAACTGAAAATTTTTTTATCATTAATATAATAATCAACATGCTAAAAAGACAATCATCAATTTACTCTTACTTGTATCTACAAGAGTGATTGCCTAAAATATTGGAGGATAAATAATTCATTTAATTTTATATATTATTACAGCTGGTAGAATCTTTCATACATATGCTTATATCAATACAGAACTAAATAATTAACTAAAAGAATTAATACTCTTATTATCAATGAAGCATTCATAATCTTTACTAATCTTTTCAATTTTATCTCTAACACTTTCATGAACCTTTACAATAATTTCTTTCCTTTCAATAATATAAATATTATTGTCACAGATGATCTAGTATAACTCCTTCCAATAACTGGTCTACATATTTTTTGTATAGTGACTTAGCCTTTATTTTATTTATACAGTCAAATCTTTATATAGTCACACCCTATATAATCACACCTCTTTATATGTGTCTGATTTTGAGAAATGATTTAATTAATATTAAATTACTTTTATATAATCACAAATTGACTATAATCACTATTATCTATTTTCTTAAATCTACATAACATTTTTATTAATAATTAGACCTCTTTTATAATCATTATAATTTTAGTTAAATTATAATTTTAACCAAAATTACGAATCACATAACTTATGATTATCATACAAAATTTTATTTTAGAATTTAACATTATACAAGTCATCTAAAAATGAATTTATCAATTTTAAAAAAAAATTTTGTGAGACAGCTATTACTAAAAATGAAAATAATCTGCAAAATCACATAATTATATATTATATATTTTATAATTTTGCCTAAAATTATGATAATTTAAAAAAGCATAAATTTATATAATCACACCTTTATATAATCACCAATTTTATTGAAACTGATTAGGTAATTATATAAAAGCTTAATTGTAGTTTTTAAGAAATTCACAATATTAGTAGAATGATCCTATATTCTATAAAATGTTGCAAAATATCCAAATGGATTTTATATCTCTAGAAATTTAGAATATATTAGATCAATATTATACAGAGTTTTTCATTAGATCTTCAATCTAAAATTAATTCAACATCATCCATATTATCAGTTTCAGAAAAATAGCCTAACAGATAAAGATAGGTATTATAATTAAAAAAAATAATGCAATTAAATTACAACTTGTAATGCAATTAAATTTTCTTATAACGTAATTAAGTTGCAATTAAATTGAAATTTAAAAATAATTATGGAAACCATCTTTATTAATAGATTAATATGATTAGGTTTGGTAAAAGTTTTAATTGGTCCTAATTGGTTCTGATTAAAATTAAAAAAATTATTAGTATTAAAGATTAAATTTTTTTAAATATTATCATTATATTCAATTTTTTAATTAAAGTTATTTATTAAAAAAGTTTAAATTTCTTTTTAAAATTTAAAATATCTTTAAAATTTTAGACCTAGAATCTAGATTTTAGGATCAGGTCATAAATGAAGTATATTTATTATTTTTAAAGAATTTTTTTATTTTAAATTATAAAATAATTGATATGTAATAATTATTAAAAGATTAATTTATTATTAAAAATTTTAATTAGTAGTATATAAATTAAAATTATCTTTAAATTCTTTAAGAATAATTAGGACTTATTAGGACTTTTACGAACCTTATCTGTAACACTCTTTCAGTTTTGAATAGCCAATTCATCATGTCTAAAGTGATTGATATTATAGATTCAGTTAGATGTGAGAAATTTTTTTTTGATCATATTTTTAAATTAAAGATGAATCTTCCTTCTTGTGTTTGTTTTCAACCAGACGCATGAGTGATATACTTGAATAATATGATCATTTACAAAGAATAAAGCTTTGAACAGATCAAATCAATCTGAAAATTTTTTGGTTCAATTCAGTTTTTTCTTTTCAAATTATAATTCAATCTGAATTGAAAAAAATCCAACTAAATGGATTTAATCTTAAATTTTTGGATTGATCTGAAATTTTAGTTAATAATAAATGCCTTTGAATTTTAAGAAGCCTTTATTATTATTTGTCTATAAATTACTTATATTACTTATCAAATGCAATAAAAATATTTATTATTATTTATTTAATAATTGTTCAAAAATAAATGATCAAATTGATTTATTTATGAAATATAATATTTTAAAAACCAATTATACTCTGATAATTTTTTTTAAATAAAATAATAGACTAATACATCAATTAATTCTCATTTTTTATTTTAGAATTATTTTACTTTCTATAAAAATATCCTAATTGATCTTTAAAAATCATCCATTCTATTTTCGTTATAACATATAACAAATACAATATTAACCTATTAAACCAATCAATTATAAAAATGTCATTAAGTTTTCAACTCGAAATATTCAGTTTACGAATTAGAGAACTGTTGTGTGTAAATCCAAAACTAAAGCCATTTCACCGAGATAGAAGAATCAATCCCTCAAAATTTATTTATGGTCGGATTTGTAAAGAAAATTGTAAAAATTGAATAATTTCAGACCCGGTTGACCAATAAAAAAAGCTCTTTCCGTTAAAAATCTGCGAGAATTTTTTACCATTTTAGTTATCCTTAAATACGGCTTTTATTTATTTATTTATTTGTTTGTTTTTTACAAATCTGTTTATCATACTAAAAATAATTCTCGATGATGAAAGTATTCGATTCCCGGAGCAGAAAATCCCAAATAAATAATAAATTCATTAAATTATCCAAGAGGTTGGATTTGAATTATCATTTTTTATATTTTTATCAACTAGTTTTAAATAAATAATTTGCCAAATATTTCTTATGAATGGATCATATCTAACACTATAATACAATTCAAAAAGAAAATACACAGGTAATAAATAATTTTGTTAAAAAGTATTTTTTTTTTTATAATTCCTAAATCCAATTTTTTTCTTTTTTTTAATATATTCTAATAAAACAACATATTCGCATTATATTAAATACATATAAATAGATATAGTATTCATATTTTGTAAATAAAAAATTTCAAATCTAATTCATCCGTTATATCGGAATCCTTTTTTTTTTTTGTAAAAGTTCAAATCAACAACTATTTGCTTTGTAAATAACATGGTATACCATATACCACCGGAGCTGAACCAATTAGATATTTAAGTTTACAAACATTCCTTGCTATTGTAACAGCTTGGACTAATGATACCTTTTTTTTTGATGTGGTTTCCTCATTAGGATTTAATCCCCAATTCCGAAACACAGATTTACTAAATCGATCAAAATCCACATCAGTGACATCCCATAAATTTGCAACAATTGCTGGGCTATAATAATAAAATTCATTAATATCTTTGGAAACCTATTATAATATATCATGCTTTATTTTAAACTTACCTTCCAGCCAATAAATAACTTAAAATGGTACCAGAAGGATCAAATTCTCCACCTAATTTTAATTGTCCACTACTACAACCGAATAGAAGTGTTACAGCACAACGATCTAAATGTCTAATTTTATTTTTCTTACAATATGCTTCACCAGCGCCATGTCCGTAATACCTAAATGATAATGTCAAGTGTTGTTATTTATAAAAAGAGAGATATATACACGCACATAAATAATTATCGTTTTGCTTACATGAAAAGATCCTTATTTGCAAGACCATCTATCCATTCTTGATCGGTAGGAATCCGTCCAATAATTCCATCTGAACCTTTAATGCTTTATAAATAGATTATTTCACGTTTTCCTAATGATATAAAAAAATAAAATAACATTTTTATAGATACGTACTTTTTTACAAAATCTTCAAATTCATTTTGTGTACGTTTCAGGTCTTGACTAGGATTAAGAACATAAAATGATTTCTGCTGATCAATGACATAGTCTAACCATCCCGGGTTGTTGTCTTGTTTGTTATTAACATGATTCGTTAACATAATTCTGTCTCTCAAAAATGAAAGAGATGGTAATCTTGAAACTGCTTGTGATCGTAAACATGGTAAACTTTCCCATGGTAACATTTGTACATTTTTATCAAGAATTAAAATAACATGTTGATCATCAACATTGGAGCTCATAGTATCGTCATAAGATAATGCGTCTTGAACATCAATGATAAGCTTAAAGATTTAGAATGTATAATATTTAGTAAAGTTGTGGATAATAAAGTCTTAAACTAGTGCGTGCAAAACTACTCTTTATTTATAATTAAAATATAACAAACCTGGTCCAAGTCAATTTCGTCATATCCAACCTGTTGATCATTATATTTATTATACGCGTCAACAAGGAAATAAAGAATATCCTCAATATCTTGATCTTGTGCACCTGAACCAAGTCGAAGAAATGATTTGCAAAGCTCTATTTCAATATCTAGCTTCTTTACTTTTGAACGCTTTCTAGATGATTTTCCACTTTCACACTTGAATAATAAACTATCAATCTTTTCTTTAAATTTTAATATTCGTTTGGAAGATTGATGTTTATCTGCCATTAATATCCCCTATTAAAAAGATCAATTTATTAACATCTTCATAATCTTATAATCACACTAATACGAAATTCTACCTTGAAACCTCCTAGCCACAAATTTTCTATATTATACAGTAAATTTTTTAGTCGTACATCCAATTCCTTCCTTGTTTTCCACCATTCTTTTGATGTTGAAGGATTACTCATAATTTGATTACATAAATCCAAAATGTCATTAAATTCTCGAATTGCCTCCTTATAACTAAATATATCATTTTCTCCGTCTCTGCTTGATTGACGTTTCAATGGTAATCGAATCAGAAGCGGAGTCATTTTCAGTTGGTATCGACAAATGTACATTTCATTCGTTTCAATGTCAACAGAAACTGAGCAAACCGTCCAATTAGGAGGCAATATATCCAAAAATTCTTTTTGAAACTCATTATAAGTCAAGATAGGTTCATTTTTATATCGTTGAATTAAAGCCGTTAAAAAGTTTCGACGTAATATAGTTTCATCATCATATAACTGATATTCATCCTCGTTCTGTAATATATCAGGTGGTAATGCGGTAATTTTTTGTGGCCACTGATTGTCAAAACACAATAAAGGATCTTTACATTTCTCGTTTAATGCAGTATAGAATTCTCTCTTTGCTGTAAGTGCTTTTGTCATTTCTAAATACAGAAAATTTAGTTACATTTACTAAATTTAAATCAATAACAAAAAAGTAATATATTTTTTACCCAAATAAAAGGCACAAATGGTAGCCATCTCACGTTGATCAATATTTAATTGGCTTTGTCCGTAGGCTTTGATCATGGCTACCTTAGATATGCATAGAGAAGTTTCTTGTAATAAATGCGTTGGCCCACAATCATATGCTAAAACGTAAACTTCCATCAAGTATTCAAGTGTCTTGTCAATTTCTTCGAATATCAATGACGTAGTCAAGTTCATGGATTGTTTAACTTTACACGACTTTTTATGTACATTCATCATTGGCAACGAAAGTACTGTGCAACATAATTCAAAATAAATTCACCCGATTATACTACACAAATGATAATGCAAATAAAATAAAATAAAATACCAGAGTCAAGAACATTTTCAAATAACAACCGGTTTTGATTCGTTAGTTTGGCGGTAATCTCCATCACTTTAACTTTGCTCAAGATAAGAAGATGTTCAGCCTGTAAAAACAAGGATAATTCTAGTAATAATATATATTTAACAAGTTGTAGACAATATTTATTATTCTAAAACAACTAACCTTTTCGAGACATGATTGGTTTGTTAACTTTTCTTGTTCGATCAATCTAAGTCCTTCTTCAATTTTACCCCGTTTGCTTAAAATCCACCCTAAAAAACCATGCCATTTTACATATATAATTATGAACATCTCAAAAATTATATATATTAAACAAACCTTGTCGGCGGAATAATTCACTTTTCAGATGTGCAAGTAAAAAGCATTCATAATCGGCTACTAGTTTATAATTATTAAATTTCTTAGTCAATTATATTCAATCTTCAATTTCATTAAAAAATCACATATTAATTACCTTCCCCTATAAGTTTATCCTTTGGTGTGTTCGAATATGAAACAAATTTCTTGCTCCTTGGTGTTTGTAATACACTATAATTTAATTAAGCTGAAAATTTAAAATATATCAAATTTTAATCAGAAAATTTTATATAACAAAAATGTTACGAAACCTTGTGTCCAGATGTTCTATTTTAGAAATGTATTCCTCTTTCATAATATTGGTCAAAATATCGACAGCCTTACTATAATATTCCAATGCAAATTCGTAACACCGTAATTGATTATCGAAATCACCTTGCCTAAATTTGAAATCCCCCTCTCGATATTTGAAGTCACCAAAACATAATTTAGCAAGAGCCTCTTCTTTTCGAAAGATGACAGCCTTATATAGTAAAAAGAAATAAAAACAATAAATTAAACGTAGGATGGTTCAAAGATATAATCGATTATTCATATTACAAACTTTTCGTTGGTACTCAATAGCTTGATTAATCTTTTCTTCGCTTTCTTTCCAACAATGCCTTCGGAATTCCAATTCGGCCAAATGTAGTAAAACACGACTCATGTTCGTTTTCGCTTTGGTTGATTGAATTAATTCAAATGCTTGTTGAAAACAATAATCAGCTTCTTTCGCGCTTCCTCGTAAAATATGTAATTGACCTAGATGATGATTACATTCAAAAAGCATCTGTGACAATAAGAATAATTGGTGGTTGGTATTCAAATGTTGTATATTTAATAAATTAATTAAATGTTATCACTAAATACTTGTAAAACACGCCATTTCCATCTTTGTGCGGTTAAATTTAAAAAACCACCAAAAAATTCCCCATTTATCGCCGTGGAACATTTATTATTCACATTATTGTCAACAAGAAAGGGATTAACTTCTGTGTTCACTTGATGATGATAATGGTGTTTTCCATTAAGATTAACATTCCTCATCATTCGGTTAAGTAATTGAATGGCTTGTGTGACGTCACTAATGGCATTTTCTAAACGACCCTATAGTAGGGAATAAATTTAAAAATGATTATATATTCAATAGGAAATAGAAAAATTATATATAGCTTACTAAACGTATTAAAATGCGAGATCTCGTATAAGAGGCGTCCACGAGCAACATTTGCTCATTCTTTCTTTGCCTAGCCAATCTAGATGCGACCACAGGAATCTTTTGAGAATTGCTGGTATTTGCAACCAAAATCGTCTGATCAAAATATGAAACACTAAAAGAAAGGAAATTAATATTCAATATAATGAATATAAATGGAATAAAATAAAAACATAAAATGACGATTTTACCTTTTATCCATACAGCCGATTGCACATAAATAGTGGCTATATCCTAGCATCCAAGACAGTCTTGCCTCATTCAAACAAATATTTGAATCAAGGATATCTTTAGCCCTTTCAAAAGCCATTCCAGCTCTACCAGTATATCCAAGGTTTAAATACATTTGACCAATCTGTGCATATAAAATTACCGAATCTATGTTTAAATTAAAATTCAAACAATTTAATAATTCAAGGAAAATATAAACTTTCTTTTTAATTACAAATTTATCCAATTTATTAACTAACCCGAATTTTTGTCAGTTGTATCTCTAATTCCATTATTTAAACTTAACATGATATTCAATGTTTTGATTTTGTTTCTTGGTTGATTTGTGACCCCAAAAAAATCCACAAGCAATTCTTAAATTATTAAAATTGTTGTCAAGAAAAATATGATGATTAACATTGATGAATTATAAAATTTTGAAATTATTGTAAGGATACGAAGGTGACCATATAATCTTTCAATCTCATCAATTTTTTCCTTGGCAATTTCTATATATTGGTGCTTAATGATACATCCATTTTTATAAGGAGGAATATTTTTTAAAATTCCTTCCCATATGATAAACGCACTTTCAAACGAATCTTTCGAAAGATTTTCTGATTCAAGTGTAAGAATACCAGTCAAAGAATAAGCGGCCGCCAAGTAATAAGAACAAAGATGTATAAGATTATTGTCCTTGCCAAAATTCTATAATTAAGGTAAATTTACTATTATTCAGGGTGAAAAAATTTTAAATATGTCAAAGAAATTGAAATAAACAATACATCGGTTTTTAATAAATCAACTGCTTCCTCGATAAATTTTAATGCAGAATTTTGACCTGAATCACTTTCTATGCATATCATAATCTTAACTTTTTCAATTAGTATCCTATTTAATTTACATCAAATTCATGATGGATAAATAAAATTAACATAAATTAAAAACCTAAAAATTTTCATTGTAATTAATTTCATTGACTGACCTTGCACGTCGAATAGGAAAATGCTCAGGAAGATAACAAGTCAACAAGGTATCAATTAATGATTTTTCCACATTTAAGAAATCAAATTGAATATTACGCGAGGTTAAAATACGCTCCTTAAGTACGCGCAACTCATATTCTAACAGCCCTGCAGAATCAATCAAATTACATCCTGCATCCAAGAAAATATCTTGAATTGAAGTGAATTCGCCTTCTGGACAATTAATATAAGTTGAATTGATATACCGGTCAACTATGTTAGGAATTAACGGCAGCTTTTGAGAAGCGGATAAAACTGTTTGTGAAGAAACTGAATCCGAGAATTGAAGGAAATCTCGTTGAGGAATATATCTTAGAGATTGCTCAAAAGCTTTGCTAGCTTTCTTTTAAAATAAACCATTTTTTTTAACGTTAATCTCGATCTTACTATGTAAAACTTCATATATTTACATAAACAACCACAAACCTTATATTCACCCGATTTATAATAAAAATTTCCAATGCGACAATACGCTCTTAAAATAGAATGAAGCCCTTCTCTACTCGACGTATGCTGAACAATCTTGTATGCTTGATCGATGTATGACATGCAGTTCTTATAACCATTCTGCTGATATATATTAAATTCTAATTGGGAAAGGATATCATATATATCAATAATAATCAACACAATGTTTTCCGGATTTAAATAAGATGGATCATTTTCTCGCAAATATTGAGACTTTAAAATAATAGTTAAAAAAGATTAGTTAAAAAAGTTGATACGGTTTATATAATATTTAGTCGTTTATATTTTCATACCTTGTACTCCACAAAATATTTTTCACAAATCAAATTAAAACAGATGGAAATAGAATGAATCAAATCTTTAAGACAAGTGCAAACGCTCTCTTCATCGAAATCTTGTGATGCTATGAATTCCACTATTTTTATAATTGGTTGTCGAATTAATTCAACCACCTTGAAAAGCTGTGAAAATGCGATGATTATTTTTTTGGACAACTTTTCCATCAGATTACTTTGTGATAATTCATTAAAAACAATTTGCGCATCTTTAATTCGTTTTATCGCATCTTTTGCTATTATAAAATTAACGAATAAATTAAATATAAAAAAAAATGTCATATATACATATATTTTAAGACAATATGATTGAAATACTTTGTTTTGTGCATATAAGATTTTGTAATGCAAGATGTGCAATTTCAATCCTTAAATCCGCAATTTGTAGCAAATTTCCTACATCTCGTACTGAATTAGACCGAGATGATTCTTGAAACGAACTAATAATTGATTCATAAAACTCTAATAGTTTCTTATAATTGTTGCTCTAATAATTTAAACCATAAACAATTAGAAATAGTAGAAAAGATAAACGTTCTTCATTATATATTAAATTTTACCTTTCGAGCAACATATGAGTAATGATTACGCCATATCAAGAATTTTTGATTTTCAGTAACATTATAAATATATGTTTCCACTAATATCAGCATTTCATCATAAAACGCGTTTAATTCTTGATATACTAGAGTTGATCGTACTGAATTTAATTTATAATTAATTAGACATAATGCATTTTGTTGATTTTTTTTTTTAAAAAAATATATATATATGATTATTTCAGTAACTACCATTTTTACATTTTCGCTCGAAACTAAGAGCAAACCATAAACTGGTTTCGAAAAATTTAGATAAATCGAATCGCGTAGTCAAAATAAATGAATGCATGTAAAAGGAAGATAACTTCAAAAATGTACTCAGTATGTTCTCCACTAAAAAAAAATTTGATGAATTTTTGTATTTTAAATAAGAGTATAATATAAATATTAATAAATTACCTGCTGAATTGTGGAGGCCATTAATTGCCTTTGAGATGACACGCATTAAAAGCTCTAAATGTACCACAGCTTGTTTCGAATCTAACGTTTTTGTTCCGGTAGATTTAAAATAAATCAAAAGTCTTGAACGCAATTTCTGTAATGGTTCTATTATGTCGGTATACTATTATTGAGAAATTTTCAAATTTAATTTAAATTAAATGTCAATTATTAAAGGAAATTGGTTAAATTACTAACCAAACCAAATTCAACAAGTCTTGTAATCAAAGTCAAAAGCGCCTTATCGATTTTTAGTTGCACAACTTTTGATTTTTCGACCTTTTCCAACTCATATATTGCGGATAATGTTTCATTTGCCAATTTCCGAAAATTAGTATCAAGTACTGAAGTTGCATTTTGTGTAAGGATATTTTGTTCCGAGAAAAAGTTTGTTCTTTTAGGACGCGTCTTTAACATATCAAACATTGTTTGTAAGTTCTTATTAACGATATCCTTAAACATGGAAGACTTTAAGGTGGACATTGCGATCGAAAATCTGAACTTGATTAGATAAACAAAAAAGTAACTTTTACGCGATTTTCTATACTGCGAAATAAAACGCGAAACGGTTCTTTTTTAGGTAATTATATTCTGCACAACAAATATACAATAAATTTGGATTGGATTGGGACGATCCGATTGGGATTAAACTAGGGTATATCCCATGCAAATCCTGCAGAATGCCATTCAATTTATAAATAAACTTGATCATTAAACTTTAAAAAAAAACTTTTTATGGATTAATATCAAAAATGGTTTCAAACAACAGCCATCATCATCCCATTGTTGATATAATACATTTTTGTTCATATTGTATCTAATATGGCGTTGGCTATTATTCAGCCAATTCTATTATATCACTCATATGAAATTATCTGATTTTCCGAGTTACCGTAGTTTTTTGTGTCGCAAATCTTTTTTGTTGCTATTCCATACACTGCATCATATCAATAATCTTTATAACTAATGTGGCTTGCAGAACTGCTTGCATCCAGTCACACTTTTATAAATGATCAACTGCTTATGTAACCATAATAACATACCAAATTTTGTAGAAAAAAGCAATTGAAAATGTATTAAGATAAATATAAATCTTCTTTTTTTTTATTTACACCTTTTCATACATAAGGATGTTGTAAGAAATATTTATGGAAAGAAAACGAGGGAAAAAAAATATCTTAACTGTTATACAAAAATTTTAGATAGGCCCCATAAGAAAAAGAAAATTATTTTTCCAAAAGGGCTTATATCAAAGACTGCATATAAAATAATATTTATAGTATAATATATATAAAAAAAAAAAAAATAGTATATGTAAAAAATAAAAAAAAAAAGAATCAAATAAAATATCTAACCTACTAAAATTTACTTATTTCTTCAATGTTTGTTATATAAAAAGCGATAAAAGATGAGACTTGCCTAGCCCACATCCATTAAATTGTATTGTCCAAAGCCTTTCTCCAAAATTATATAATGAAAAGATCCCAACAAATAGTATTATTCTTGTCACAACAAATATATAAAGAACGAACGATATGAATAAAAATTGTAATAATAATGTAAATTATATCCGCTTAAATGCATATATATAAATCAATGTGTCAACTTATTCGATTAAAAAAAGTTATTTTCTCATAAGATTATTCCGTTATTCGAGAGATTCTATTAAGAGTATTCGCGTAATTTTATACGATCAAAATAATCTATAAAAATCGATAGCTATGTACGAAAAGTGAAATTAACAAGAACATCCCGAATTTTGACCAGGATTTTGCCCATTCGCCCTTGGTAGGCCGGGAAGTGGACTTGGTCCTCCGTTAACAATTTGACGTGGGCGAGGGGACATCATGAGCTCAAGCGGAATCTTTTTAGCTGTGAAATAAATCATTAGCCATTATTTATTGATTAATTTCGTATAATATAATAATAAAAATAAAACTTTGCAAAATATTCATACCGATTTCCGTGAAAACGTCCCGAACGCCATCACCTTTCTTTGCTGAAGTCTCAAAAAATAGCAAGCCTGCTTCCATAGCATAGGCTTTAGCTTCATCAGTAGGAACTTGTCTGCCACTTTCTGCAGATTCTTCTTCGCCTTCTTCAGTGGGTTGAACAAGATCTATCTTGTTACCTGCAAGAGCAATGACAATATTAGGATTTGCCTGACGTTGAAGCTCTTTTACCCAAGATTTAGCTTTGTCAAGCGAGGCCTAATTGAAGCCATTCATCAATTTCATTTATTGAAAATTAGTCCATATCTTTATAATTTTGGTATTTAAATTCATAGGAAAAATCCGTATACAAAACTTACAGATTTTGTGACATCATAGACAACAACAGCTGCCTGAGCATTTCGATAATACATTGGAGCCAAAGAGTGAAATCTCTCTTGACCAGCTGTATCCCAAATCTCAAATTTAATTACTTTGTCTTCCAAACGACATTTTTGCGTTAAAAAGGCCGCTGAATAATTTTATAAAATTAAAAATATTTAAAAAATAATATTTCGAAAAAAATAATCTATTTTTATAGAAATATATATTATGAGATCAACAAAAATTTCACTTACCACCAATGGTTGGTTCTTTATTTTCTTGAAATTCGTTATTAACGAATCTGAGAACCAGGCTAGATTTGCCTACAGCAGCTTCACCTTAATAAAGTACAAAATTTCAAAAAAAAAAAATATATATAAAATATAAAGAAGGTATATTAATTTTTATCAGTTCCTAATAATAAAAAAAAAGGTCTAATGGCTCGTGATGAAAAGCTATACGGATCCAGTTGGATTAATAAGCTTTTAAAAATTCACGCACGATGGTAAAAAACTTACCAAGAAGAACTAGTTTTACTTGAACAGGTTTTAAATTATTATTTTGCGATGGTACGTTATTACTCTCACCACCGGCACGAGCGGGTGATTCAGCAGTGCCTTGACGCGAATTATTTGACATTTATGAGTTATTAGGATATTAAATTGTTCCTTTTATTGTTAAATATGTTCAAAAAGATGTTTTTTGTTTGGTTCGAGAAAAAAAAAAGATAATGCAAAAATTACTTCGGTTGTTTCGGCGCTGTTGGATATTCTATAAAGATTTTGTAGGTTATGGATTAAGAATTTTACCCTTGATTAGGTTACAACTGATTCTGAAGATTGTAACAATAGCGATAGTATTAATAGAATTCTTTACCCCTGTAAAATACTTATAAACAGTTCGTTGATAATTCAAGTTTAGACATTATGACAACATCGAAATTATAAAATAACATAAAATGCATTTCGAATCCTTGAATACCGACTTCATTTATGACTTAACACACATAATTCAACAAAATGAAGCTGGTACGCGTCTAGAAAAGTTTGTTTGTAAAAATTTCAGATCTGTAATTATTTCCAAGACACTTTGCAGGGAATGCTTTAAACGAGGCGAGATCTTTGTTAATGGAAAGGCCGCTGAAAGTTCACGCGTACTCCGTAAAGGAGATATAATACGTTTACGAATTAATAAACTCGCTTTGGAAAGAGATAGGTTAAAAGTTCCTGTTGTATTAATTCTAGAAGATGAATATATAGCTATCATTTGTAAGAAAGCAGGTGTACCTATGCGGGACTTACAAGAAAGTTTGGCGTTCGTTTTGGATGGTGGGAGAGGACTTGTTAAAAAAGGAAAAGAATATACTTGCATCAATAAAATACAAAGAGCAGTCAATGGTTTGGTAAGTTGCTTACAATAATTAAATATCTTAATTGAATTTTTTAATTCTTAAATTACCCTTTTCTATGTTTGAAGATTATTGTCTCCAAGAGTAACGAGATAAAAACTAAACTTACGACCTTACTTAAAAATGGTGTCATCAGACAACAGTATCGAATTCTTTGTCATGGTAAATTTCCTTCTTCGGATGACAAGTCTTTTTTTCATAAACACGCGCCACCTTTCGCATTACAACATGTAGACTTCACTCGTAGTACATCTGGTGAAGAAAAGTATCTCACAACATTGGACGTAGTTTTGGATAATTCATCTACAATTTCAAGCGCTGGTATTCGAGAATATTTTGTTCAAGTATGTCATCCTATCGTTGGTTCTAATTCTTGTTCCAAGGAATTAAAATCGTACAAAGATAAAAGTATAATGATGGCTTTATTGGAAGTTGTTTTCAGTCATCCTATAACTGGTGAAGAAGTGAAAGTAACAATTGATGAACCAGAAAAGTTCGAGGTAAAGTAATTTGCAATTAGAATGATGATTACAATTGTTGAGAATTTGTTCTTATGATTACGATTAAATGACGTGTTTGATGGAATAATTTTATTCAGACGGTACGACAACGCGAACTAAAATTTTTTGAGCAAAAGAAAAGATGTATTATTGAAGAGTTACAACGACATGGAATTGAAATAACTGATAATTCTGATTCAGATAGTTTACTAATGAAGCCAGTGGCATATATTACTGGAGAAAAGGTATTGAACTCAAATTCATTTACTTTTTTTTTTGTCTTTTTTTATTACATGTTATCCATATTAATTATTATTAGGAATTTTTTGAATTGAGGTTTTTTGTTAACCAGGATACAATGATTCCTAGAAAATCAACGGAATATCTAGTACGCGCAGTCATAGACATATATTTTAGTAAGCTGGATTCCGGATTCTGGAAAGATCAAAAAGACGGCTTTAATACGTTTTCGATATTAGATTGTGGAACAGGATCAGGATGTATACTTATTTCGGTGTTACATTATATTTTATCTCGGAAGCTTGAAATTACGGAAACTTTGCCTTATCTCTTTGGATTAGGATTAGATATTAATTCGGCTGCTCTCGATATTGCACGTAAAAATGTGGAAAGACACTTGAATCCTTTTATTTCCAACAATAATAAATGTGATTTTCAAAATGTTGATTTCTCAAACCTTCACAACTATGAACCATTATTTAATATGTGTTTTGATGTTCTTGTATGTAATCCACCATATCTTGATGTTGATAGGCCACTTACAAATGATGATCCACGTAATCTCGAGCCTTCTAATGCACTTTTTGCTGAAGAAGGTGGATATAAATTTTATCGTTTGTTATACAAATCCTTAGAACATGCATATATAAATAAACTTAATATTTTGCAGCAAGATGGTTTAATAATTTTAGAAATAGGAAGTAAAATGGCAGAAAAGGTCAAAGAAATTTTCGCTGGGTGGAAATGTGATAAAGTTATCAAGGATCATCAAGGATTGGAAAGGTGTTTGTTATTTTCCCGCAAACCAGGTAAGTAAATAAATATAAGCCATTTTCTAATTACATGATGCATAGTGCGTATATAAATATAATCTTTCGTAGCTAATAATCAATAAAACTATAATTTCCTGTTTTATAAATTATAATCTTAATGCTGTACATATTAGATAATTAAATAAATTAAATAATTTTATATAACTATATAAAGTTCTGATTTATTTATTTATTTATAAATGTAAAATAATATGAGAAATATTAGTATCAAAATTTATTTTTACATTTATATAATATTGTAATAAAATAAAAAATGAGTTAATACTAAATTTCACCTAAATTATATTGGTTAATTTATTTTTTTCTAACAAATTTTTAGTTAAATAGCTCAGATTCATAATAAATCTAATCCTAATTAATAAAATCTAAACCAAATTAAACATATCAGATTAATCAAATTTTAGTTTAATTCCAATATAATAAAATACATTATTTAATTAATAATATAAATGTTTTAATCAAAATAATCAAAATATTAAATAATAAAAATATTCTTATTCAATTAAAATTATTTAAAATATCATTCTAATTAAATATTTTATAAATAAAAATCAGTATTCTATAGTTCAACATTACATATTTCTTTAATACTGAAATAATATCAAATATTTAAAAAATCTGCAGGTTAATATCAGTAAATATATATTAGAAAATATTTAGTCAGTCTATATAATAAATCAAGATATAAGTAAAATAAATAGTATTAAACTTAATCTGAATAATAATCAATAATATTATCATTCGTAATAAATTTGACTAAAATGTATAAACTTTCTCATATAATAAGGATATTTTAAACAAAAAATTTCAGAATCAATTTAAAATCTTTCAAACTGATCCATTTTGATCCAGATTATTATAGCATTTTTTGAATCATTGCTGAACAGTTTCTAATTCAAGATTTTCATAAGTTACTAAATGATATTTAACAATTAAATTTATCATTTCATTTGAAATAATTATATTTTTAGATAACTTTCTGAAAATTTTTTCATTACAAAAATTATATGATTCTTTAATATTTTAGAAATTTATTCAAAATTAGTATATTTTATCTAATGAAAATTAGTTAGTAAATAAAAAAATCTAATAAAAAGCCAATTATCCAAAAATTCAAATCAATATATAAATTTATGATATTATTGATTTAATTATTAAATATTAATTAATATTGTTATCCAACTAATGATTAGGCAACTGAAACACGTAATCAATTGAGTAGCAGCAAGATTTAGCTCAATCTTTCTTAAGTTTTGGGAAAGACTTTGGTTAATTCAGGCTTTCGTTGACTTCGGTATTCTTTCACAAATAAGTTTCAGAATTAGCAAGTATGACGACTTCCAATTTACTGCGTAAGACAAATAATTTTTTTTGACATAGGAAATTCTCAGTTAACGTTACAAAGTTTGTTTGTAACCAAGTTGATAACATTTAAATAATTTAGAGATTACTTAAACTTAGATGATACTAAACAGGTTGATAACGTTAAGTAATTTACAATTACTTAATCAAGGTTTTCACAAAGCGAGTTGATAATGTTAAGTAATCTAATATTACTTAACCAAGGTTGACATAAAGCAATAACGTTAAGTAATCCAATATTACTTAACCAAGGTTGACACAATGCAAGTTTTGACACAAAGCAGTTTGTTTGTTACAAGACAATTTAATAAAGAGTTTTTATTATCTTATAAAATTAACTTTCTAAATTTCTATCTATACATGATGAAAAACTCAGCTTATTTATAATAAAATTTCTACACTAAATTGCTATCTATTGCATAAAAACTATGTA